GGCTAATGAATCATATTTCACAAACTGTAATGATTCATAAAGAAAAAGTAGCTAGAAGAGAAATTGGAGTCCTTACAGCAAACAAAATAACTTCCAGACAATACAAGATTATCGCTCCAGCTAATCCTGAAAAGCCCATTAAATACGTTAGAAAAACTGTCGACTATACTATTTTTGATGACTTGGGTCACGGTGTAAAAAGTATTGGAACTCCAAAAAGTAAAAAAGGAGGTAGTCAAAGTAGCATTCATAGTTCTGGTGCATCTTCCGTAGGCTCAGGCTTAATTTCAGCAGTGGTTGGACCTGCTCCAACGACTAAACCACCAACACCACCGCAAGTAGGGAGGACAGGTAGTTTAATTATTTGTGGTTTCAATCGTTGTAAATTACAATTTTTTACTTGAAATTGATGAAGTAAAGCTTGAAGGTTTTAAGATTATTATACATTCTCTCCAATTATTTCCTTCGTGTTAATGTCATAAGTTTGTTTAGTTTGTGTATAAGTATTTGCATAGTTACATTTATCATAGTTTTTTTTTTTTTATAAATAAATTTTTTCTAACCCCACGTATAAAACTTTTTAATGTATATTACGTATAGACTATTTTAAAATATTTTCTTAAGTTTCAATCATCTATTTGTAGAAAAAGTTTATACTTAAAAGCCTATAAATGTTGTTCACGCAGATCGTAAACTTTTCAAATCTTATCTTTACTTTTACTTTCTTTTTGCATAGTTCACTCGATTAAATTGTAAAATATCTCATAATTATATTAAGTGTAACTTTCTCTTATAATTTGAAATCATCGCTTATCAATTTTGTAACTTATACTTTATATTCATACTTAGTTTGATTCCAGGCTTAACACCATCTTAAATCTGAACTCTTCATTATGATACTATGACTTGTCACGTTCAATTTGGTACAAATAGTAGCTAATAGGTTTAGTGTAAATAATTGGGATTCTGATGAGGATTGCTTGTTAATATTTGTATTAAATAAACTGGTAATTTCTTTGCTGATAATATCATCAAGCCAGATACTTCTTAACGTGGAAAGGGTAACATCCATAGTGCTCTGAGCTCTACATATCACGATTCCGATGTACAATGGTCTAGCCAAGCACTCACTGAACACACGGATCTTTTAATTACTGTTCGGAAATTCCGGAGAAAACAAAACTTCTGATGATTTAGGTGGTTTCAAAATAGCGTTTATTCAATATGCATGCTTTTCCAGGTTGTTATAAGCGGCCTATTGGTGTGGGTGGCTTAGAACAACGAAAAGAAGTCGGGGTGGACGAGTATCCTTTCCCAGGGATTCGAATGAATCCGGGCCGTAGAGATGAATCCACGGAGAGAACCCTGGATTTGAGACTCTAGGCGTAGCGAGGCAGTGCTTCTGTTGGATTCCGATACCACCGCTGAAGTTAATGTCGCTGGTGGATAGTTGAACAGTGACTCACAACGGTCGAGAGGAATCCGTAGCCAGTATATTATATGAGATGCGATTACTAGCGCAAAAGAGCCTCGATTGTTTGTCCGATTTTCCCAGTAGTTAGACAACAGTGCCTCATAGTGTGGATAATGATAGTGAGAGTGGGTACACGGAAAAAAATTTCGAGTGGCAGCACCTTCAAAGTTGGTGGGCAGTACCTCCACGGCTCTTAAGTAACAGCACCTCAAAATTCGAGGAGTAGGAACTCTATATAATTAAGGAGCAGTTACTCTCTATTGTCAAGTAGATGGCACTTGATGCATTGAGGAAGTGGCACTCGAGTCATCGTAGAGCTAGCATTCAGAATAATCATATTTGCGTAAAACAAATAAATTAATAAGTATATTTGGAGGTATAAATTGACGCTTCAGACAAAGAAAAGCAGCACTCAAATTTTTCCATTTTAATTAACATTCCGAAAATTCAAGTTTTGCTTTTCATCACCGGACTCATGGACAATTTTGGAAAAAAAGCCTTTTGTAATATTATTTATCATCGTTTTAAGGGTCAGACAGGGCAACTTGACACCTCGTGGTGTATTTGGCCATATAGTATATTATTTATGCGTTAAACGGTTTTATTTTACGGTGACAGGATAACAGCGAGGTATATAGGAACATGGGAAAAATAGATGTAGGTAAATAAATAAGTAAAAAGATAAATAAATTTTAAAAAGTATTTCGTACAAAAAAATCTCATACGAGTTTTTAATTTTTATAAAGTTCTTAATTAAAGAAATAATTATTTAAGTGACTACAGCCCTAATTGTAAGCATATTCGATGCTCAATTCTTTCGTTGCCCGATGAACGAGGCGCAACATTTTTCATTACTGATATAGCTGGATGTACATGCATTAAATGTTTTGAATTTAAAGATAAATCCCCAGCATAATTACGTTGTACTACATATGAGTGATAGTGAGAATCAAAATACATTTCTTCATAAACGTGCATCGTAAAGTAATAGTAGTTTTCCTACGAGTTTGAAAAGTCTTCGTTTGCGAACCGAGAGGTTTGCGGCCCGAGCCGAAGGCGAGGTCCGTAACGAGGTTCGTAAAGGAGACTTTTCGAACGAGTATCGGAAAACTGCTTTTTTGCCCGAGGAAGTAACAGCCTCCCAAAACCACCCGAGGGCGGAAAAAATATTTTTTAATGGCTGCAATATTATCAATTGCACCGAACAATGCTAAGGAAGTGTTAAAACGAATAACAAAAAAGTTGTGAAGTTCGTACACTATGCCACAGGTTTTCATTTTTTTTAAACTCTTAAGTCATTGTTACATTGATTTTCGTTTTGCTCTCTTTTTTTCAGCCTTTCCAATCCCATTACGTGCATATTCTGGCATAAACCTAACATTTGCTTATTTTCCTATTGTATACAAAAGATTTTTTTTCGAACTAGTTAATTAGTATTAAAACGAAGAGATTAAAGTTAGTTAGTATTAAAACAACGAGAGGATAAAACATTAGGAATTTTCCGCAAATATTTTAGTAAATTCTAGTATTCATCCCCATACGTAAACTAAATCTCCTACGATTGAGAACAAATATCTCGTTAAATATAACAATTCTGAAGCAGATATTTCTAACACATTATTATCTTTTAATCGAGATAGCAAAATTTCAGGTGGCTTGTTAGAAGTACCCGTACTCTCAAAATCAAAGTTTTTTAAGCGAATGTTGAGAGTTTTCAAAGTAAATTATATTTTTTTAAAGACTAAGTGACATAAAACTGCATGAAGAACAAATCAACATATCCCTTCCAGGAAGTCGTGCATCATGTCCATACTAAAGTTTTCAGTGATGTAAAAATTATCTATTTCATTAATAATACATAATTCCTGGATACCTGTTTTACTTACGTCTTGAGTATGGATATCTCTATCATAATTTTTCCTGTTTCTCAGCTTTAATTTGTCTCCTTTTGTTAAAAAGTAAGATTCTTCAGCCATAACTCTACATACCCTACATAAATTATTGCTTTTAAACGACTTAGTCAAGCCGAAAAATCGTTGAGACCGAGGTTATCTCCTAAGACTAATATTAATTGAAATTTGACAATTTGTTTATTCAAACCATCTGACACTTCAATGCCCTCTCTTGCAAGAAAATTTATCTCATCTATTAGTTAAGAAAAAAATTCAGCATTTGATATTTTCTTTTTGTCTGCAGTGTGAATCAGCATGCACAAAAAGATATTTTTAATACGCGATGTCATTTCTGGAGGAAGGCAGGCTAATTGGGCATATACTGCACCAAATTTATTTTTACCAGCACTGCTTCTCAAAGCATTACTACATTCCAAACAATCATACGATTTCGCTCTTAAATTTATCGTGGTATTTTCGGAGCTAGCAATCAGCTTTTAAAAGATTGTTTATGACATTTGTGGTACTTGCTTCCCATAACTTTTCAGAGTAATGTAACACATCTAAAAGTATACCTGAAACTGAAATGAATCACGTAAAGACATCCAAAGCATTTTAATAGGTTTAAAAACCATTATTATTTCGTTATCAACAAGTTCTGGACACAAAACTGATCCTATCTGAGTTATTTCTGGTTCACGATAACCTTTGCGTCTGAGTAAATTCAACCTCTTTTGTTCAGAATCGACATGGTCAAATATTCTACCGTAATCAGCAAAGATTAAATGTAATTTTAAAATAATGTCTGGAGAAATATTTTCATTTTTCAAATCATGCATAATATCGGTCTCCAAGGATGGTAACAAATTATCATGTAAAAAATAAAAAAAAATAATATTACGATGTCAACAGTGTTTTTTGGTAAATAAGTCTCCATAAAGATTAAAAATCAATGTTATAAGATGTTCAAGTAAAGAAAGTAATTCCATATTGCTATTAATTAATAATTATCTCAACAGACAAACTAATAAGTACACAATGTATTGGAGTAAGTATCAAACATCATCTGGTTAATGGAAACGAATATTAAAAATGTAGTTTACATCCTCTTCAAGTTATGAATAGATCGATTTACTACTTGAAAACTCTTAGTAACCAAAAATGGGAAATTATTAATTGGAATTTTGTACACTAATACTTGGAGAAATGCCCAAACGTAATCGGTAATGTCTGACCACAACCACAACGCTGCTTGACACTTTAAACATAAGTTGATAGCTTTTGAAGGGTTTTAAAATTCGTGAATAGTAATATTAAAAATGCTGAATGTCTTTAATACGTTATCCAAATCTCCGCATAAAGCGACGTACAGAAAGTCTTTTTCACCATCTGATTTCAATTTTATTTCATGCTCAAGTCTCTTCGCTTCAAAATCTTTTGGATCCTACAAAGAAAAATTATTTTATGATTATCGAATTCATAAAGAACATCAGATCTTAAAATTGTAAAATGATAAAAAAAAAAAACACTATGTACTTTAACCAGTAAAACAAATGAATCCGCAACAAACAGTTTTCCAGCAGGTTTAGTCACTGTTATGCACAGTAGAAGAGCAAACAGTGCTAGTAGGCTATCATGAGTACCTTGAGTAAAAATACAACTTACAACAAATGAAAGGAAAAAAATTGATTACTACAGAAATACCTTCATTTAATAAGTGGTTGTATTTCTTCCGAAAGGCCACTGCTTTTTTAATTTTTGACACTTTTAACGCTGCAACGACTTTTTTCGATAACGCAGGCCAATTATCTTGAAAAAGTGATCCGTACGTGGGTAATTCTTTTACAAATCGAACGGATTTTGACCTTCACCTCTCTGATTCGGCTAAAAGTTTTTTTCCAGTTTCTATATTGAAAATAAAAGATACGTTTCTGACAAAATTTTTTTATTGCCCTTTTTTTATTTTATTAGTTATAACTAATTTT